CAGCCTTGGTCTTGTCACTCTTGAGCCTTCGTGGGAGTCAGTACTCAGTGTTTTTAGAAAATGACAAAAAAGGGTCAGCCCAGGGGATTTCATGGTTTTCCTGGATATCTAAATGCCACCTTCTGAGATCGAGTTGATTTTTGATTTTAAAACTGCTGTCTTGAAGGAGCGTGCTGGCCATGGGCAGGAGCCTAAATGTGATGGGAAACAAAGCTCCCGAGACAGCAGCTGCTGTCCACTGGGAACACTTAGGGTCATAAATTCAAACACTCAGAAATTAGGGGGAAATGTCCCATATTTAGCTCATGAGCATTTCATTAGCTGCAGGAAGCAAGGCAAAACCATGAAGGCATTTCCTGGCCTCTGACTTTTCTTTCAGAGTTTACACTTTCATACAGAGTTTCTAGATGGGAAAAGCTTTGTAGGAAGGAGGCTTACATTCATTTGTGTTTCCAAAGGAAAACACAAAGTTCTTCCCCATGTGAGGAGTTACACTGACTGTGAATAAGGGCTCTCGTGGGAAAAACAGCTTGCAGCAGCTTTTTTTTTATCCCCAGAAGAGATGCAGCAGTGGGTCTGTGTGAACTTGCTGCCCTCAGGGTGACTTGAGGGCCTTGCCAGCAGGATGCACAGCTCTCAGTCACCATTCAGCAGTTCGGGGTTGTGTCCCACGTTCTGCAGAGCAGGACACAACCACAATTGCAGATCGAGCCCTCATCTGCTTACTGGTTTTTTTAGGTATTTGAGCCGTAAGTAACTCTGTTATCTGGAAGTAAGAAAGCTCCAGTGTAAAATCAACGTAGCTAAAAGAACTTACTCCAGAGTACCCACAGGTTATGTGTACACTTAGGAAATATTGTGGGTGAATGACCCTTTGATGACCTGTCTTTCTGGCCATCTCATAACACTGTGTGATATGTTCCCAGGCTGAGGAATGTCCAAGCGTTATCTGTTTATCAGCTGTGTGAAAGGCCTCATTTAAAGAGAAAAAGTAATGGAATGTGCACAGACTTGAATTGCAGTGTTGCTCAAACTTTGTGTGAAGACACAAGGAGCACCTTAATGGCCTTCAGGAAAGCTCTTCCTTCTCCAGACCATTGTTTGAGACCTCCTTAATCCCTTGGCACAGTTTTAGACGAGAGGGGATGCCTTGCAGCTGAATGGTTACTTTCCCTGCTCCTGTTCCTATTGCTTGAAGTTATCAGCCTGTTCCCACGAAGATAACTCACATATGTGCCTGCTGGGCACCTCAGTTCTCCTGTATAGTCTCATTTGGGGGAACCTTAACCTGATTCCCTCAACTGTAGGACTATTACTCCTTTTCCTAGTAATTTTATTGTCATGTCAATCTTCCTCTTTGTACATGAGGCTTTCCCAGCTGCTTTAAAGGGACCTCTAACCATGTCCTCATCCACCCAAGTGCTCCCTTGGGTCAATAAGGTGCTGGAGGGAGAAGCATTTTTGCTAGGTTTCCTCCCTGCCTTCTGGCCTGTGCCTGGGGGGATGTATGGAGGCATCTGTGCAGACCCAAAGGGTGGCAATCTGGGTCAGCTGATAAACACAATGCCTTCCTCTGTCTGTCTCCTCTGGGTCAGGGAGAGTAGTCCCCCAGCTTGTAGCAGCATGCTCTGCTTTATGCTCAGAATTCAACCTGTCCCAGCAGGCTGGGGACCTGCAGTAGCTCCTTTCTGTCTGCAGCAGGAGGGTGGTGATGTAACTGTCAGGGCTCCAGGTTGGAACCGTGTGACCAGAGCTACACTTTTTCACTTCAAAACAGAACGAAAAGGATTTCTTTTGCTCTTGCCACAGCTGGGGACCTGTGCAGGGGCCTCAAAGAATCGGGGAGGGTAGAGTAGATATGTGAGAGATTGCAATTGGGGAGTGGGGGATAGCAGGAGCGTGGCAACAAATAGGCAGGAATGGCATAAGGGTTCCCTGGAGTGACTCATGTCTAGGACTTAGCTGCAACATGGGGGGTCCTAAGGAGAAGGGTGGAGAAATGTCTGACCAAGGATGCTGAGAGCTGGAAGAGTGTGGGGCTGGGAAAGGCAGAGGGATGGAGATGAGGGAGCAGATGGAGGAGTGAAGCAACAGCTGGAGGCTTTTCCACATAGTCCCATGTGCTCAGTGACAAATCTTGCCCAAACCTGGAAAAGCTTCTTTGCTGAAATCTGTAAAGGAAAATCAGAATTACAGGAGATCTCAGCTTTACAATAGTGCCAGGAGAGGAAGGGGAAGAGATTGACTCACAGATCACCTGTGGATTTTTTGGTGGATGGAAGTGAATTGACCTACTTTCTAGGCTCAGTGATGTGGTAGTGAATGTATTCCTTAGATAAAAAGGAAGGTGAAGGACTAGGATTAAAAAAACACAACCTGAAGAATGAGTGCTAGAGTCCAGGACAAACGTGGAACAGGAGAAATAAGGCAGTAAGCCGGAGGAAAGAGCCTGACAAGTCTCTTGTTTGAGATGTGGCACAGGATGGAAATCAGGCCCTGATGTTTATACATGAGACCCTCCAAGCGCCATTTTCTGGGCATTGCTGGGACAGGAGCTGGACATGAGCCCAGCTCTGCTGCATCAGAGTAGCTGTGCAGGGGGCTGGTGTTGGCATGTGCTTCTCCAAAGCCCCCCAGCACCACACAGGCCAGTGGAGAAGGTTCCTGCAGGGAGGTGACCGTCCTGCAGCACGACCGGAGTGTGGTGGCCTGGATCCAGCCACTCCTGTCCATTGGCTGCATTCCTCCCACCCCTGAGTTTTGTTAGTGATTTTTTTCTTTTCAAAACCATGTCTATTCAACCCAATCCTGCTCACTCACATAAGCCCTATCTGTGTGGTCTCTATCCATGTTCTTTCCTGCTTCCCATTGTGGCCAGTGTAGTTCTAACTTCAGTCTCAACTTCTTTGTTATCCAAAGAGCTGAAATAATGCTGTATTTCACCCTGTTCGTCCTTAGAAACCTCAGGAAAAGATGCTTAAAGTGCCTAAGAGGCACTATATGATTTGGGAAGATAAAAAATATTTCAGCAGCACTGTAAGAAATTAATTTAGACAACTTTAATGGGAAGGTTGTGGCTGTGCCTTGAAAGGTAGTTCTGATGACATTTTTCATTATTGAATCAATGTAAATGAATAGGTTTAGAATTCAATATCCAGATTTCTGGATTTAATCTAATATAGACTTTCCGTTGTGAGAAGTCTGAAGTTGTTCAGCAAAGCCAAAACAGATTCTCCCTTGTCTATTAAAGATACACGATCTCATTTTAAACTGCACACTAAAAAACAATGATGTTAATGTATTATGAAAATTATTCAGACACTCTTAAATGAACATACCCTTTCCGGGCAGGCAGGAGCAGAGAACCTTGGTGCTCAGGTTGCTTCTGGAACTGCTGGCAGGGCATCCAGCATCACAAGCCTGGCATTTGAGTGTAGCAAAAAAGCTTTCAGAGTTGCAGTAGTCCTGCAGGTAACCTGCAGGGAGAAAGTGGTGATTTGGGAGCCTGTGGAGGGGACAGATTTCATGGCGTGTTTACCAAACTCTCTAGCGAGTGAGGGGGAATGTGGTGTAATAATATTTAGCAGTATTGCAAGACACATCAGCTAATGACTTTTAAAGTGTTTCCATTAGAAAGAACCTTCAACCCTTAAATGTTGTCCTTACTTATAAATGAGGGAGCTGAACCATAAGGAGATGAGAGGGCTCCCTGGAGATAAGTAAGCACATTTTAAATGTGAGAGTATGGATGGTGCTGAGAAATGCATCACACAGCAAAGTGGCTCCAATGCTGCCTCTAATCATATTGTAGAAAAAGAGAGGGTAATTTCCTCATGACCAGTAAGGTCTTCTGACTGAGCAGCAGGAGCCATATTAGATGTAAGGCTTCAACAGACCCTTCATGACTCCAACCCCAAGTGATGTTTTGAAAACCATGTCAGAAAGGAACCTCTTCCATGCATAGCTTGGGGTGTCCAACTTGCCATACAGCTGAGGCCATTGGAAGAGGGTAACGCTCTCACCAACACAATGTAACACTTCAGTACTCTCCTCTCTTAGTCATTCTTTCATTTGTCTTTATTTGTAAAAGTTGTATAAAATGCCTTTTAAAATTGGTCTGGTGAAACTGAGAGGCTTTTTCAATGTTGACCAGGTTTCTGTACAGGAATAATGTAGTTACACAGCAAAGCAACTAAGCCAGACCTCTAGGAAAGGCTGTCAACACATCATTGACATCATGGAACTATACAGTGACATGAGCTCTCGTGCACCACTGTCCACACACTCTATCACAGAAATCCAGTATCACAACTTATTAACCAGCCTCTTCACAGTGAAAAACAAAAATTCGGAAAAATTTACAAAAGCTACACTTCAAAATTTGAAACACTTTTACAAAGGAGTAACTACAAATCTGATGCTGAAAACAGAAGCCGACAGCTTCACCTATTGCTACATATTGATATTGACCACTTCCAGACTTCAAACTTGCACAAGGCAAATCTATTTCTAGAAAAATGAAGAATGGAAGTTTAATGGCACCCACTGCTTTGAAAGAAAGGTGATGCAGGTCTTCGAGTAAAGCAAAAAAAGGCCTGTAGTGTTTAGGGCTACAGAGTGGTAAAAGAGTCAAGTGGCTGTTGGACAAAGGGCTGTAGGAATGGCATTTTGTGGCAAAGTAGGGTGACTAGCACAGCCTCCTGGTTTTGAGGACACAGTACGCATATGCACTCAGATTATCAGACACCAATACTGCGGGAGGAGGAAAAGCTCTTTGCTTACGTAGAAGTCATTGGAGGAAGGCAGGGATCTCTCCTGTAAGAATGAAATCAGCTCAGAATTGTCCCTTTCATAAAGGACTGTCTCTTTTGCATAACTCTGGGTCAGAAAAGTGAGCCAGATTCTTCCATGCTGTAGCTCAAATGATCTCTGCCCAGTTTACTCCAAAGACAGCTTTTGACTGCAATCTTTGGCTCAACTTCAGCTGTGTGTGGCTTTCCTGCTGTTTCTGGCAAAGCAGCCAAACCCTGGAGCAGGTGGGTGACTGAGTGCAAGTGGGTCCTGTCAGGCTGCTGCAACACAGTTTCTACTCTACGCAGCTCTAAAACAAAGCTGGGCAGGCGAAGTCACCAGTGATCAAACTAGACAGCCTGAAGGAGAGGAGGAGAGAAAATAGGGCTTTTATTTCAGCATACAGAGGCTGAAAGCCTTTCAGCTGCTGAACAATACTGACAACACAAAATTAAGGCTGCTGCAGGCTGTTCTTGGGCCCTGCCTTGAAAATAACCAAATTTAGTAAATTCGTGATTGTTGAATGCATTTTCTTTTTTTGAAGCAGTCAGCCAGCCAGCCACTGCAAACACACCTGCCATAGTATCTGAAAGGCAGCTGCTTTTATGGGATTATTCATAAACCTTTCAGACCTCTTAGCCAACTGAGAGCTTTTTCCTCAGATTTTCCTAGAGATCAGAAAATGTGTTCTCAAGACTTTACTGTCATGACTGGTAATGTCATGGATGTAAAATAAGGTGGGAGGGTTATTCCATTTGTTTCTTTAAAGAACATAGGATACTATGGCTCAGATCCATGCAAATGTGGCATAGAGGAAACCTTGGCTCCATCTACTCACTTATCTCATGCCAGACCTGTTACCAGTGGGCCAAAGTAGAGGGGTAAAAAAGGGCAGAAGCCCTGTCCAAGGCTCTCAATAGTTCCTGCATAGCCTCTCCTCCCACAGCTGCTTCCCGGAAGTTCAGAGGAGCCCTGGTAAAATGCTGTCTCCTCAAACAAAACCCTTTGTCAGAAAACTTTTAGGTGCAAATCTCAATTTGCCTTGACAATTCCATAATACTCTGGAATCAGAAAATGTAGTTTATGTATTAAGTCCTCCTGCATCACCTAAGCTATTCATCACATGACTAGAGAAAGCCTTACAGTAAGGAGCTTTCTCTTCTTGGTCCTGGATATAGCACCGAGTGTTAACACAGAGGTAAAGTTGCTTCAGAGTGGTGCAGCACTTCTGTTGGAACACAGGAATAGGGCACTTGTGAGTCTTCTTTTCCTCCCCCTGTCGCATCTTGTTTCTTGAACAAGCTCTGCAAGCTCAAGGTTGCTGTAGCATGGAGGTACTGCTCAAAAATATGACTTGATCCTCTGTAGGCTCAGGTGACCCAGAGAAGAAGTGAGTGTTGCCCACGGTCCTGAATCATGACCCTGTGTTCCTGAATTTATTTAGAACACATAAGTCATGAAATCACAGTTCTGCTTGATCCTTCTCCCAAAAAACTGCCATGTTGAACTTCCTAGACATGCTATGCTTGTCCTCAGAGGAGGCAGACCCTTTCCAGAATTCAGCTTCCTGAAACATGTACTTTACAGATAAAGATGTGGAACAGTGTAACTTTTTGAGGAAATAAAGGGAAATAACTTTGCTACCTTCTTACAGTAATTGAAACAGCAATACCTATCTTTTTTCTTTTTTTAAAATGCTTATTCTCTCACAAAAAAAAAAAACCTCAAACGTTTTATAACATTACAGAGCTCTGATCCTGTGGCACAAAGACCTGCTTCTGTGCACTGTCCTTAAACTTTCTGTTTTAATTGCAGTGATGACTAAGTGGGAAAGTTATGCAGACAGCAATGCAGCAATAGAACTGCTGTAGATTATGCTATGAACTGTGAAAGCTATGACCAAAGATAAGGCAAACACAAGTTAACTAAAGGGGAATTCCTCTTCCTTCTCCTTTCTTCCACCTCTAAACCTGGGTGGGAAAAAACATTATATTACAAGAGACAGCACCAAACACTACACCTAGCATAAAAAACAGTATAAATGATTGGATAGATCACTGCACAGGAATTTCTAAGCCAAATTTTTTTAAAAATGCACAATCCCTTTAAAAACCAATCAGTATACAATCACAATGCAAAAGGAACATAACGGAGCTTTTTCTGAATTTCACATATTCTGGCCACCCTTCTGTCCCACTCCTTGTAAGTCCGTTTTTGCAAGCTCAGGGAAGTTCGCTTCCACATCTTCACAATGTAAGTGAAAGGTGGGCTACTACTGTTAATTTATGAGATCCTGGAGCTCCTCATCAGTAAGTTCGTTGACTTCCATGATCTTTTCCAAGTGCTCCATATACCGGGTGTGGTCTTGCAAAAAGTGGGGCACCCTCATGTTCTCAATCACAGCTAATCCTTTCAGGCGATCCACGTCCTCATATGAGATCTGTAAGGAAGGGCATGGGTTAGTTTAGCTGTATATTCCTGTTACTTCTCTGCTGCTGCTCTAAATTCTCTCTTTTAAATGAGAAAATATTTCAGAGCAGGGGAATTTAAAATCTTGGAGAAACCTTTGAAAACAGGACTAACTGTGTGTTTCAGTGGAAGATGCAAAAAAGTGTAATTTTGGCAAATGCCTGCATAATTCCTGGTTCTGTTTTTGATTCAATCAGTAAACAGAGTCATAAGAACCTGAATGAGAATGATCTACAGCAGCTGCAGGAATAGAAAGGGAAAAGATGGAGGACATGTGACTCCTGGAGTCACTTCTCAAAGAGGTGGGAAAATTGACATGAGAATGGAAAAAACACCGTGCCAAAGACTAAGGAACTAGAAAGGAAGTGCAGGACAGGCATAGCACAAGAAGCAGGCTTTGGGAAAGGCATGGTGCCAGCTGATCTGAACTCTGATGTTTTCATTTTCACTACCAAATGTGCTTATGTAAAGCTAAATTAAAATGCACCTCTAGTAACGTACACCAGCATGAAGAACACTTAAACATCCAATTTTAGTTTTTTATTTTCCCCATTCAATAGCAGGGTGCTGAATGGCTTTGCCTCTTGGCATCAGAGCTTACTAAGTACAGGTGTCAAACTCTCAAACATTTTCCAGCTACTACAAGGCCAAATACCTTTTTTTTTTTTTTTTGGTAATGAAAACTGATATTTTTTTCTTCATAGTCTTATGATTCTACAAGCTAGGATTAAAGTCACAGTAGCTCAAGGTGCTGTGAACAGTGGTCCAGAATGGACAGAGGCTTTGGCTCTCCACAGGCTGCCCTGCCAGCACAGAACAGGACTCCTTGGGAAGCGATCCAGCGTGATGAAATTTGAGTGGTTGCTGCTTTGTGTTCTGGGCACCCTACAGACAGAAGCATATGTACTGGCAAAACCCACCAGTCTAGCTGTGCTTACTAACTGGCAAGTCCTATTTCATCATAGGAGGTTTGTGCCAGGTTGCTCCTTCCAACCTTTTTACCCCACATTTCTAAGGAGCTGAGCACTGTGCCGTCTGGGTTCTCTGGAAACAGCCTGCCTTCTTAGCAGGTGATGGTTTCTATTCAGAAAAGATTAAAGTGAGCATGAAGGATTCACCAATGTGTAAGGGGCATGGAAGGGCTTTCTGGAAAGATAAGACTCTGGAATCCAGATTGCTAAACCTGATTCATAGGGACAGGTGCATCTCACTGATGATAATGGGAACAAAGTCTTCAAAGAGAAGGAATTTGCATCAGAGTACGTGTGTGTGCTTTCATAGTTGCAATGACAAGATGCATCCCAGTTGAAAAAACAAACATACACCCATACCAAGGCTTACCCAGTTCACTAAGATACTGCTGCTTGAAGATGGTGTGGCATTACATCTGATTAACCTGTTTAAAGTGGATACAGAGAAGCTGTGCAAAATCATACCATCTCCTCTCAGCCTGGAGAACTGAGAACAGTACCAAATGAGATTAAATTCTACTTCTTTTCCTCCTCATATATATGTTCAGGGGTTTCTGTTACTGCTGGAAGCAAGAAACATTATCTATGATCTGTGGTATAGTTTGGATGGGATGTATTTCCCCAGTCCTTGAATTGCTAAAAAATGACAGAAGTTGACATCCTGAGAAGGTCAAAAACACAATCGCATCCTATTGAAGAAACAAGTTGTCTTCCTTACCACATGTAATTAAAACCATTGTGCTAGATAAAAAAGACTGAGACTAAAACCTACGCTCTTTGGAACGTGTTCATGTGTTTCTTGGGTAACACAATAACAGGTGATGTTTTGCCGCTTTTGCGTTTTAAAACTCTGGTAGTTGTGTTAGACTGAAGTGCACCCAAGATCTGCATTCTGTTTCTCCTCGGTATTAACTTGCACATGATTGCCCCATGAATGGTTTGCAGTGCTTCCCATATTCAGTTCTTTTCTGAAAGGTTTTAAAGCAGCTCCTTTTAAAAAGCATCTTTTCTCAAGCTTCAAGTTTTTCCCTTAGTCACTTCTAGATACGTTGAGCAGATTTCATGTGTCCTGTTCTCTATGCTCACAGAACTTGTCTTTTCTGAAAGTATATGGAGATATTGGAATGGGCCCAGTGAAGGGTCACTAAGATGATTAAGGCACTGGAGCATCTCTCCCATGAGGAAAGGCTGAGAGAGCTGGAACTGTTCAGCCTAGAGAAAAGAAAGCTCAGGGACACCTTTGTGCGTATAAACACCTGACAACATGGGAATTGGGCTACTCACTGGCAGGGCAAGAGGCAATGGGCACCAGTTAAAATGCACAAAATTCCATTGGAATACAAAACATTTTTGTATGGTGAGGGTGGTAAAACACTGGCACCGGCCACTCAGGGTGGTTGTGGAGTCACCATCAGCGGAGATATTCAAAGTCCAACTGGACATGGTCCAAGGCAAACTGCTCTAGCTGACCCTGCTTAAGCATGGGAGTTGGAATAGATGACATTGAAAGGTCTCTGCAGATCTTGACTGATCTGTGATGCTGAGAGTAGGCACTGCTCTTACACACAGATTTCCAGTTTGACTGCAGAAGGTGTCTGCTGCAAAAACATTCAGAATAGACTTTACGATCCCTTGATTTTAGAAGTTGTAAAGTCAAGCACTTATAAATTATCATATGCTAGAATTATATTACTTGTAGACCCTTACTATGGATGCCATGCAATGTGGATCATAGTAGAATCTGTAATTATATAAGGAATGACTTATTATTTTTTTGAAGTGGCCTAACAATCCTCCAGACTCCCTGAAGAGAGACAGGCATGAGGGAGCACAGGAACAGTGTATGTTCAGTAGTGTAGCAGGCAGAAGCTGTGTGGAGTTAAGTAGGCTTAAAGCAAAAGGAAATTTCAGAGAATAAAGACTTATTTGACAGTGTAATTTTATTTTCAGAGCTTTCTAACTTGATTCAGTTACCCAAATAGGTCTTGCTTATCAATATGGATGTTTCTGACAGTAAAGGCAAAACTTAAATGTGGACCAAAATCCTCTATCATAATATGCCCCTTCCCTTTATCACCCGTTTATTGCCAAGTAGGCAGAAGTGTGGGTATACCAGCACTAAATGAAAGCTTAATGTCAATTTGACTCCCAGTTTATGTGAATATGAGCCCTGCGTTATGAACTGTGGAAACTTAGCAACCCAAGGATTTGGTTCAGGAAGTGTGACAAAGTTTCTGCACTTCTTAGGATGATTTTGACAACAAAGAAGCTGTGACAGTTAGAATGGACATAAAATATGTTCTGTGAATGCAGAAATACCATGCATTCTGGGGAAAAAAAACACACCCTAGTTTTTGGAAAACAGGTGCCACCAGTAAGAGAAATTTGAGATTAAAACAGGATGTGCTAGAATCCAATGTTTAATTTTGTTTCCTGCTAGGACCACCACCTTATATAGTACCTGTCCTGCTTGGCCAAGCCAGTCTGTTGTGCTTCAAGATAGGTAGTACCCCTTAAAGGGAGGAAAATCGGAGAAATATGACCATAAAATCTTAACTGAGGAGACAAAATCATAAGCGAGGAATGAGGAGAATCTGGTAGAAGTTTTTAGGACCTCAAAATATTTGCAACTTGCACGGTGTAATTCAAAGTGCTGTACAGAGCTGAGATTTCCAGATCAAAGGAAAAAGCACAATGACTCAGAGCTTGTTGCAGGCAGGCTTGCTGAAATGGTAAAACTGTACCCTTTGGGCATAATGAGTCTGCTCACCTTTCCAAGGGCTGTCAGAAGATAGAAATCAATGGAGTCCCTGTATCTCAGGATTCGGAGGATGCCATCCAAGTACACCTGATCCTTATTGAAACAGCCTGAAAGGAATGGAGATACATTTTACCCTATCAAGGTTTGCCCCAGGCATGTTCTCAGTAGCCCTCATGAGCAGAACAATTTTATTTTAAAAAACTAGACATTTATATCCCTGACTTGGAAAACCTTTCCAAAAACTAACTAGAAGGCAAAACTCACTAGCCAGAGAAAGAAAGCAAACATGGATGATAGTGTCTGTGAATCACCACAGCAACATTGCATCTCTTGTAATAAATATGAAAGGAGGTCAAGCTGTGAGTAGGGACTTTTTCACAGTTTTGTATTCACATTCCACTTCCAGCAAAAAAAAAAAATCCTGTACTGATTCAGCCTGAAAGTCTCACACATGTGCATTTTCAGCCTTGTTTTCCATAGTGGAATTCCTGACACCTCATCTCAGGAAGTGTGGAGTCCCATTTCTCCGTACTGCAAAAGTTTTGCTGTGTGACACGATGAAGGAGCTCTGTGGCATGTTCTGAACACCTCCCTGAAGTACAAAAAAAGAGAAGATAAACAGGGAACCCACCTGGCTGTGATGTGTCAGTCCACCCTCTCTTGGCTCGTACGCAGTAATCCCACCTAGTGTTGGGGTCTTTGACAAATTTCCCCACGTCCTGGAAAAGCCGGCTGAAGGACATTTGGCTAGCCTGATACACGGTGTAGTAGAGCAAGGCAGCTCTCCAAAGAAAAGGGTCTTTGCGGAACAGGACACTGTGAATGCTCGCCAGCCCCTCTTCTGTAGGGTTGATTGGTTTTAACCCATGTTTTCTACGTCCGTTCCGGTTGCACCAAGGCTGGCTGTTGTTGTTAAAACCACGAAAATAATGAGTTCCTGGAAAGAAAAAAAGGATTGTGGCAGCACTTAGAATGGTAGCATCTAATGATTAACAAAAAATTATAAAATGTATAAGGAGACACCCACTTCAGAGCTCTGAGCTTGGTAGGACTGGAACTAGGGAAAGTGACAACTTTAAACTTGTCTGCAACAGAGAATTTTGTCAGAGGTAAATACACCATGCAAATAATCACTTGCTGACTGCAAGTGAGACTTCTGAAAATGCCCAAGGAATACAACTATCAGGAAGACTTGACTTTTCAAGCCAGTGGAAAGGAATTTTCAAGAGTGTCTTACATGCTGAATGTCTCTGGCATAGGCTAGGCCTCATGGTGACAAGAAGGAAGGAAAATCAAAGTAAGGGGGCAGAAATGCTGCCTCCTGAAGGTGATTAAACAGACCTACTGCAGCCTTGGGAGATGCTATGTCCCCTTACAATATGAGTAACAGTGGTTCAAGGCAATTGCAAGGATTATTCTTCAGTTGATAATCAGGCACTAGCCAAGTTTATGCATATGATGTACTTAATTAAAACAGATACACTGAAAATTTTGTAGAAATTTTCCACAGGGCTGGGCCCGCCTTGTGCAATGTAAAACCAAGGCAGTTATAGCAGTTTAGGGGTCACTGGGTAAATTCTTCCTGCCTGAAGCATTGCCTACATTTGCAAGCAATGCACCGTAACAAACACAGATTTGTAAAGTGAAATGGCTGGAGCTGAGGTTGAACAGTCAAACTATTTTTGTTTCCCTTTTTTTTTTTTTTTTTTTTTTTTTTTTTTTTTTTTTATTAACTCCAGAGTATCTCTAAATTGTTCTCATGAGCAAAATGTCCCTGAGCAGTGACAGCACACAAGGTATGCCCGGGAGCACAGCCTCTGGACTAGCATTATCTGAAAGGATTACTTTGCCTGCTCCAAGATTCTTTTGGCATGTGAACCTCAGTGCAGTTAAGTGGGACTAGCTGGTAGACTTACTTCAAAAGCTCAGTCTGGATCTGACCTAAAGTGCTAATGCACATAAACCCTAGGAATTCTTTTACTGCATGCTGCAGTGATAAAAAGGTTTCTCCTTCCCCTTGGCACACCTAAAGCACAGGTTCTTTACACAGGGACATTCCCTCCTTCTGTATGTATATAGTGCCTGGCCCATCATTGTGAAAGAATTAGGAATGCATGCAAGTACTCCCCTTTGCCTGAAGAACTGATGTCACGCTCATACCAATTTCATGTCTCAGCATCCCCTCCAGCCAGTGCTCTCGTGCAGTGGAGATATTGATAGTGAGAGTGGGGCGGCCATTCACCACTGTCATTGAGGCTCGGGACAGCAGGTCCTCCGTGAGATGGACCACAATCTGAAGAGGAGAGAGTTCAGATAGCAAAGAGCTCTCTTCTCACTCCTGGTCATGCTTTTTTCCTTTGGCCCTTCCATTATTTCATTTCTCTTTGGTCCCTTGCCCTTCGCAACTCTTCCTTGCTAGCAGCAGTCACCTGTGAGAGACCCTTCTGACTCCACTGAGTTTATCCTGCTCACCTGTGCTGCTGACAAAACCTCAGGCTTTCGTAGGATTAGGAGAGGGTTAGGATAGACAAAATTTAACGCAAAATTTAATATAGTAACAGTGACTAGATTCAAGGGTCAGGGAGCAACTATACGCACAGTAAATTAGAAAAAATTCCATTTTTTGAACCGTGTCTAATCATCTTAGTGTTACTGAGAACTGAAAAATACCAGGTAAATGCACATAAGTTGATATGGTATCTATATATCTAAGTGTCTGAAACCTTTTCAGTTGCAATTCTAAAGCCACATGAATGGGAGGAGGGAGCATTGTGTACTTTGTTTCCTGTTTCATAATATTTGAAATATTATGAAAATGCTGGTATTGTTTCATTTTGGAATATATACAGGAATATAGTTCTTGCTTTCCTGCTTTCTCTTGGAAAACTGGTCATCAAAACAAAAACTGTCAGAGAAGGAAATTAATGCATATTTATATAATATTTTGTTATTTGACATCAAAAAGCCTTTTTAAACAGGTGACTCAGAGGGAGAAGGAAAACTCTTTGTTGAAGACTAAGCAGAAAAAATAGGTAAATCACAAAGCATTTAGATTTAAAGCACAGGTACCACTTAGCTTTACTGACATATCTTCAGGTAGCGAGAATATTTTCATAATATTTTAGACCATACTAAACATGTTGTATTAACCGTATTTTTGCAGAAAAAGTAAAGCATTTAACTAAAAAGGACATGGATTGCTGGATAAGCATGTAGGATCCTGCTTCCATGAGGTTAAACCAAGCCAAAAATGAATGCAAAGGGAGATAAAAGCATAGCAAAGACCAAACATATAATTTTTCTATGCTTGCTCTAAACTGAAGTTTATTAACCTCACTCTTAGAAATACAGGTAAAGTCTAGTTATCAGTGTCAGATCATAGTCTCACAAAAATGTGTGATGAGTTTAACAGTTTCTCCTAATAATATTATATTTACCAATTAAACCTAGTTTCTGGGAAACTACTTTTTGTCTCTTGATCTCCCATTCCAGACTCCTCTTGCTCACTGCCAGTGACCTCACCCAAGTCTTGGACTGTGTCAGCTGGTGATTTCATTTGAAATAGTTCTCTTTTTAAACATTCAATTTCATCTTACTTTTCCAAGCAATTCCATGTAACTCCATCTAACTGGTCTTTTTAAATCCTGAATATAGGAAATAGGTTTTTTGCAAAGGGCTCTAACAAATTGGATGGTTAAAGCCAGGAAAAAACAGCACTCAAACCAACTCAAAAAGCCAACCTCTTTGAGACATTTTTATTCACTTATGTCACTTTCATTTGTGTTACTTCTTATAAATCAGTCTCTTGGGCTGGTGCTTATTTTTCTTGGCCTTTCCTTAACTCTTTCATTTGGTGTAAATAATCTGATGCAAGAGAACGGATGGCAGAACTGACGAATAAATGGAAATGTGCTAGTCTCCAAGTAGCTGAAAAAAGGAGGGAAGGAAGGGTGTCGTTATTGGGTACTCCCAAAAGAGGTGAATTTCAACACAAGCATATATGAATCAGGAAACAGGCTCAGAGAGATGGCTGAAGCATTCACAAGGAATTTGCATCGTTTCAATTGTTCAAACATTAGGGTGGGTATAGCCATGAGAAAAATAAGATGTAAGGAATATTCTTGCAATTATGGAGGAAAGGCCTCCCAGATGGTCTCTGGGGTCTATCCATGTGTAATGTCTAAGGTCTACATAAATATTTCTTTCCTGACCCAGTGCATGACTTACCTCACCAAGACAGCCTTCTTTCACCATGTATTTCCTGACACGATTCCAGATGCGACTTTTGGTCAGCAAGCTGCCTCCAGTGGCCTGTTCAAATTTTTCATAGCTTCCATATTTCTGCAATGTTCGCTCCATAATGTTAATGGACTATAAAATACAAAAGCATAGCAAATATCAGTGCAGTAAGATCTCCATGTCAGATTGGCACATGTATTCTTTCTCTCCCTCTCAATCTCTCTTTGTTTTTTAATTTCAAAATCTTTTTTCTTTTCTTAACTCATTGACAGTCACTATCCAGCTGTACTCATTTAATACAGGCTGAAACACAATCTGCAATGAAGTTATACCAGCTTCAGATGTACATTAATGCCAAAATACTAAAAAAAGATTCTGATCAAATCATCTTAGACCCACATGCATCAGCATGACACAGATGATTATCAGTCTAGTGAAATAATACCCATTTTCTCTTTAATTTTGGGAATGTTGTACAACTGCCTTATAAAACAGATATAACAGGTCTCCAGGACATTTGCAGTTTGTCAGCACGTTTCTTTTTATGGTTTTCAAAAAAATTTTACAAAGATCAACTATTACTGTCACCTCGTTTCATTTCTTGGTATTTTCTAATTTAGAAACACTGATCCATGATTAAGCAGATGTGTAACTATAATTTTAACGATAATACTTCAACCAAAAATGTCTCCTTACAACGAAATCCTCTGTACCATGGGTGTCTGTTTCAGAAAGGAGGAGAGAGAGCAGGAATTTTATTTGCAGAACTTTCATTTAAAATTCTCATTTAAACTGCAATACATCTATACAGCCCCCCAAAATGAAGGAGGCATGTTTCATTAGACAAACAGAGTGGTGTCAACAATTCTCTTATGTATTGCTGCTAGAAGCAAGCCCTTGTAGGTGGAAAGCTCAGCATGATGCCCATAACACTATCAGAACTCTGCATGTTGAAGATGTTACTGGTGGGGTGTGAAATGCTCATCCCCAGTAATCTGCTTTCCAGTATGTCATTTCACACCCTTCAAAGAAAATGTGGTGTGGAATAACCTCTTTCCCAGCAACAGTCCAGCTACAGAGAATAGCTTTTTTTCACAGATTTGATAACAGAAGCTCCTGATATTACCTTAAAAAATTAACACTCTTTCTAAGAAAATACCACTAGTAATGAAGGTGAAAATCTTGCAGACTGAATCTCTTTAACATTATACACTTATATCTGTGCATGAAGCTGGTAAAATGCTTGTTTCCAGCTGTGTAATTCTGATATTGTCACACTGACAATTGTCCACAAAAATTGGATTAATCTTTTATCTCTCACAGCTACTAACAATCCTACTTTAGTTTTTTTTCAAGTTGAAACTAAGCAACCCTGAGTAATTGCTATTGAAACCCATAAATGACAGCTAGACACACTCTTAAAGCCCAGTAGCTCTTTGATGAGAGAAATACCATTTACCTGAATACCAAAAAAAATTGCACCTAATATTCAGTATTTCTTTGTCTGCCCCTAATACATGTTATTAAATTTCAAGGGCCTTCTGGTCAGATCTGGGTTTCTTTTTCAAGAGCAAAGAAAGTGTGTAATTTCCTACCTTAGCACAAATTAAGCTAACCCTCTCTGTTTTTTAAAGAGGCTGTATTTCCGGGGCATTAAGTAATCTGGAAGCAAAGAATCTACCTACTGTGTTTCATTGCTGTGATCTCTGTTCCCACTGCACCTGAGTCTCCATGCTAAGGCTTTATTTATATGGGAGCAGAAGGCATATGCCGGAGAGCACTGATAGCAAATCAGAAAGTGAGGGATGAACAGAAACCTGTTACTGGTTATTCAAAGTCTATACTACCAGTTCTTCAGGGAAAGCCCAGCAGCACAGAACTTGGCCAAAAAGCCAGTGTGCGTGGCCTCATGAGAATGACTCTGGTAGAAGCAGGCTCACCATAAAGCCACCTGGTGCTGTTACATGAACCGTGTTTCCTTTCACTGCCTCCTGCGCGGCCGAAACTCCCTCACCACCATGCTAAATCCAGCAGTAGGTCAGACTTGATAGGGACTTGCACTGGACCCACTGGGGCCCTGGTGACACTTGACTGGTTCCCAGGATGGGGCCCGTCTGGGCAGCTGTGACCCTGCACCTAATGCATGAGTAAGAAGCCACCGACAAAGAACACATCATCTTCTTTTTCCGGTTTTCATTTTAAGAGCAGGCATCAGGATAACTCAAGAGAGATACTGTAAAAATAGGAATGCCGTGCCACCACCTGAGCCAGTGCAAATGGTTTGGCTTTGCCTCTCCCCCGTTAAAATACCACAGTGAGCACACAGAGCAGCTGTGCTGTGTGGTGTCCCCCGAACCCTCTCTTTCTGAGACAGGTCTTTCTATCTTCAGATGTGTGGTTGTACAGAACAGCAATTCCTCTCAGAAGTTTTTAATAATGTGACTTAAAACACAGCTGATCCTGCAGGTGGAAAGGTTTGGCTTTCAATTCTCTGAGAGTTATTTACTGCAGGCACTGAGGGATGGACGTTATTTTCAAAAGCCACCAGGATTTGTTCCTTTCCTTTTTTAAGAGTTTTTAAGGCATCTTTCAGAAAGTACCTAGCACTCACGCTGCACCTCTCTACCAGCAAATCAAACAAGACCAGGACATTGGCTCAAGTGCTGGAAGGCGTTGATCCATGAGCTGAATTGTTGGTAGGTCCCAAGGAACAGCGCTATCTTAGGTGAACCAGCATTCCACTCTCAGGCAACCCTTGGCCATATCCAAAGGATCATGTGGTTGTTGGGTTCTCCAAAATAAGTGGGAACAAGGCCACTACATTTTTACGCCTAACGTGCCTCTCAGCAAACCAAACTTCCAGTGGAAGTTTGGAATGGAAACAATGGAAACATCCGGTTCAGTTTCATACCAAACAATGATAAAAAGCTTTTCTGACATTGTGATAGCAAAGTCTTTGGATGGAGAAGAACAGGCAAGTGAGATTCATAGGCTGAAGGAAGCCAATAAAGGTACCAAAAGACAAAAAGCAAGCTCAAAGAATTGCAAAGATACATTACAGGCTTTATGAAAAGAGTAGGACAAATCTAGAGTGCTGATCACAGTTGAGTAGGGATGAATGAGAGAAGGTTTGATGAAGCAGAGGACTGTCAAAACCATTTGAGAGCAAGGGGGCAGTTTCTTCTCAGTGTGAAAGTTCATAACAATAAGGATGTTTGAGAAGGGCTTGTAAACTGTATTAGAGATCCCATTCTGATGCTTTGATTTATAAATATATTAGTACTATGAGATGCAGCATTACATAGGTGGTGTTATCCCAAAGGACTCTCCTACATTTCTTAGAGTGCAGCTATTTTCTAAAACCACCTCACCATAACGAACAGTGAGAAAATGAGCACTGAACACCGAACACACATTAAGCTTTCTGCTTGGCTGTCTGTAAAAGCAAACTCCCTGGAGCTGAGACTTCCATGCTAAGGCAGGAAGCACAAGTTTGGGAGCAAGGAGGTCCAAGTTGTAGACAGATCCTCCTGAAGAAGCACAGAGACTCTCTGGCCTCTTCCACCTCAACCTGATGCAGTTTGCACCTCCAAGGGGAAGGGTGAGATACTGAAGGGTGCTTCCTCTACTTATGTGCCACGCTGAGTAACCCATATCCTGGCATTCCAGCCATGTCCAAATAGATGTTGCAAGTTTGAACTCATGCATGCTGAGGAAGTCATTAAGCTTAAGCCTCATTTTTGCTGGACACATAATAAAAAATTACTAGGAAGGATGCTCACCCCTAACACCTTCTCTCTTGACTCTGTTTCAAGTGAAACAGAAGAAGTCTCAATAATTCTTTCCAAGTGGGCAGGTGTGGCTCTGGAAGCACTGAAACAACAGGGAGAGCCATCACAAACACACATTGCCATCAGCACACAAATCTCTGGAGAGTGGCAGATTGCCCCAGCACTGAGATAGTCCCCATTCGCAGTCCTTTTGCTGGTTTTGAAATTCTCGCCACAACCACCTTAGCTGGGAATGGTTCCTTGGGGAAACGTTTTGGGAAATTTTTGGTTTCCAGGCACTGAATACAACACCAAGCCCTTCATTTGGTGTTCTGCACCTCTCTCCAAGGTGAGATGACTCAGTCAAGTGTTGCAAGAACTTGCTGGGAAAGGGGAAAATCCAGACCAGCATGCCAGGTCCTGTCTATTCTAGCATCCCACTGTGAGCTTATTTTCCAGCCTCTGGGCCAGCAGAATACTGATATTGCCACAGTTCCTAAAGCAGAATCTCAGGAACAGGTAAAAAAATGGAAGAAAGGAAGAGCTATGTGGCTGTGCCACATTACTGGTTAAGAACAGTAATTCCTATTCTTTTTATTCTTAGTTAGCTAAAAGGTCTGCTTCAACCTCTCTTAACACTACCAAAGAGTACAAAAGACGCAGCAGTCTCAGAGCAAGCCCCCTTGCACAGCAAACTCTACTGATGCTCAAGAAAGCAATGACACAGAAGGACTAACAAAAGCGAGACAAGGATGTTTAATTGCCTGGTTTGGGTTACAGTGGTGTTGGCTTTTTAAAACAAATTATTTACAGCCAAGTAGGTCTCTGAATCCCAAGTCACCCAATGCGCAGAATGCAGCTTTAGTTACTTGAGAGGTACTGTAGAAGAACATACTGATAAGACACACTCATGAGTAATTTGAGGGGACCAAGTCAGAAAAGGGGCTCAGCCTCCTACATTCAAGTCAGCTCCTCCTACATTCAGAAGCAGCTCTGCTACAAAAGGGTCACAGTCTCTGCTGAGATCTACAAGACAGACAAGGTTTGCAGACACCATTGCTTTCCTCCCTGCATAGCTTATTGGCTGGGGGAAATGATTATGTGCATGATTATTTAAACACTAAGAGGTTATCATGTTATCATGCATATAAGTGCATGATTACATAAACACTAAGAGGTACCAAATTGAACTTGTTAGTTTTAATCAACAGCCATAAAATTTTGGGGTCAAGAGAAATGCAGGGAGGGAGGTAAGTGCAGGTTTTTGATGCAAGTCCACTCAAGCTGTAGTATTTTGAGTTTTATTCAGTGTTTACAGTGGCTTTTCTTTTCCATGCTTGTTCTTAGTGGGATAAAGAACATGTTTAAGTCATTTGGAGATGTTAAAAATGCTTTTAATAGAAAACTTTTGAAGTTTAATTCCTTACTTTGTAAGGAATTAAAAATTAATACTTGCTTGGTTTTTGTATGAGACTGTGCTCTGCAATAAACCTATGCTCCTACTGTAGTATCCCCAGAAGTGATCTATGGTCTCTTCCAGAGGAAACCAGATGTTTGTCTTGGACCCTGGGAACTTGCACTACTTGGATGGCCTGATTTAATTTGTGTTATATATTAGCATGCCTTATCCATAAATCTTAGTTAAGAAGGGAATTTGTTACTACTAAAGAATTGTTTCACAATTAGGTGCTCTTTACAGACTGTGTCATGTTTTTGAATCTTCAACATGCCAAAGCTGTGACATCACTTGGACATAGCAAAGTGTTGAACTCAGTGTTGAATGTCATGTTTAGCCTTCCAGCTCCACCTAACTTTTTTTTTCAACATCTGATAAATTTGCTAATTGTAGGCTACTTGTATTATTGCCTTAAAAGGTGTGTCACACAAACACTTGCAATGTGGCGTAATTGGTTTATTTATTAAGTCAAAACTGCTATATTTTTATGAGTGCAAGGGAAGAGGATGTACAACTCATTCATGGGGGATTGCTCATTCAACAAAATAGTGGTGGCGGGGTTGTTTGTTTGTATTTCTTAAAAATATATATATAGAATTAGATTTCTTGCCTCCTTGTAAATTCAAAGAAACAGGTCACTTGAAGCTGCAACTTGCTGATTTTGTTTCAGCAAATTGCAACTCTTAAATCATCTGCTCTGCAACACTGGGAACAATTACTTTTAAGTAAGTATTGCCACCTCTAGCATCTGAGCAAGAATAACAAACAGCTAAAGTGTTAAGAAACTTAACAATGAAGGACAAGTATTTTGAGCCAGAAACTTATAGGACTTGAAGCACTGCAATAAGAGAAATAATATCTGAAATATCAGCTATGTCAATCAATGTGAAAAGCTGCAAATCTGCAGGCTATTTTTTTATTCTCAAGTTTGCTTCCCTAAAGGAACATGTGAGACTCATGAAGAAGCTTATTATGAAGAAAACAACATAAAGCAGAGAGAAGTAAAGAAACAAAACAAAATATGAGAAGAAAGACACTAAAACTAGTATTTTTAAAATGTAACTCAACAATGTTTTCTCTATGCCTGTGAAAAGCCAACCAATAAAACTATTGGGCTGTGCTCAAGATTAAAATCTTTAAGTAGAGGCACAGGGACAAAGTAAGTGCTCACAAGCCCCTGTGTTCCTCATTCCAGCACTGCTGTGTTAATGGATTGCAAAACCACAGTGTTCTTTGCCTTCAAAAAACCCAAATAAATGGGGCAGAGCGTGATTTGTCTTCCAGACATATTGCAGTAATGCTATATTAACCAATTTCATAGATACACACAAAAGCAGAAAGGGTAATAAGAAAACACAATCTGTTTTAATGTCCCAGCAGGATATGCATAGCTGTGGGTAAAAATATTTTTGAAATTATTAAAAATCCTCTAAAATTCTGAAATGTCAGGTTTTGAGTTCGTGTCACTGAAGTAACCTAAAAGCCCCCTTTAAAAATGGTGAGTTCTCTCAGTAAAAACCTGGGTTTACAGCTTTTTATTCATAAAAGAGCAAGCACGTGTAAGTTGCAGTGAGCACTCTTTGTAAAATAAAATGAGAATAATTCTGTTCACAGATAGCAAAGCTTTCTAAAATAAGTACAACAATAAATAAAAGCCAAAACTGGTAAAAACAAGCAAGCAAAAAAACAAAACCTGAATTCATCCTCTTGCAGGATGACTGTGCATAGTTGTGTTTTTACTTCAGACCCAATTTTTGATACTATGAGTATTTTTTTGCAAGTGAAGTCATCTTTCCTGAACTGAACTTCCTATATGATGTCTACATGTTTCCTCCGACAAGTAAAATCTGCGTGGGGAAAAAAAATAGCAATGAGGAAAAGCAAGTGCTCCTACAGTACTTGCTGATTAAAATTTTGATTAGTGTTGCTTTTTCAGGATAGTGAATTTGCATGAAATTAAATTTAAATTTGCGTGGAGATGAAAATTTCTAAAGCTAGTTGTAGATAAAAAAGAGAGAGTGACACCTGCTGGGCTTGGAGCTGTGTTAAAGCTGCTGGTTTAGTAATTTTTAAGTGCAAGATATTTTTGTTCAGTATTTTTAGGAGATGAACTTTGAATAAATGCTCTTCTAGAGACTTAAACTAAATCTTGTGAAGCATTTTACCTCCTCGTTGCTAATTTTCAGAAGTATCATGCTTCATTGAATATTAAATCCTTCACCGCTTTTATAAAGCTATTACGAAGACTTTATTTTCCCAGGCTTTTTATGGACAGGGAAAAAGGCAGAGTTACAAATCAGAATAATATTGAGGAATTATTCATTATTAAAATATTCATTATTTAGGTGTAGGGGGGCTTTATTAAACGAAGGGTAAGCAAATTACAAGCTTGATCCAGAAAATGAGCATGCATAAAATAACTTTTAAGGCTCTGCTAGGCCACACTGAAAGGGATAATTTGTATTAAATTCAGCTTGGCAAATTAGTTATTGTTGATTTGCTGTAATCTGTGATTAATCTTGCTAATATTGCTATAAAAATCAACAGGAAACTTGTTAAAAAGCTCCAGTTAAGGAGCAGTTTTATTTGGTGTCAGTATGATTTAGTTGGTTGTTCAGAAGTGTGGAATATGGATTGTAAGAATAGAACGGCTGTTCTCAGAAAGAAAATAAATTTTTAATGAAAACCAAGAAACTGAGTTTTTAAAATATACAGATATTTTCAAAGTGAAAATGCAGACCAAGACCACCAATACAGTGATTTAATGGGCATATAACACTTCCGTGCATTCTTGGATTCTAAAAAAACAAAGTCACTCTGTTCACAAGTCAAGTATCAGTTCTTAGATTCTATGGTATTTTAATTCATGTACCCTTTCACCAGGAATTTTGGGAGTTTTTAAGTGAAATATTCATATCACAAAGAAGTAAAGCTCATGGAATGGCAGGATGTCTTCCCAAGTTAAGTATCACTTGAAACATAAGATTGTCTATTTAGAAAAACTTGTCAGACTTAAATAAGATCCTTCTAAACCATTTAAAAATAGCAAAAGTGGGAAGAGTACTGCTTCTGCTATTTTATAGATAAGCAGCAGTTTTTGTCACTTAGGTCAAAGTTGAAAGGAAGGCTTTTGTTGTTGTTTGGGACTTTTTTCTTATTCAGGTAGGAAGCTGAAGCAGTTGGGAATGTCTGTAGCTGTATTACCAGTGTGGCTCCATAGTATGGAGGGGAAAAAAAAAAAAAAAAAAAGGAGAGGTTTGTAGTTTTACCTCTTTCTGGAATGGAATCTGCTGCTTGAGTGACTCTAATGTATATGCATATCCTTTCAAAGTTGATTAAAACAAGGAATATCAAAATACGCTTATCCAATAAGGATGACCTCAAATAATTCCTATCCTCTCCAAATCCCTGTGCCACCAAGCGGATTGGCAGAGTTCCAGTGCTACTTTATTCCTCTGCCTATTCAGGCGCTGTATTTTTCCTGTACTAGATTCTGCTTCATTGCCTAAAAAACTGTCTTGCTTTAAATTCTGTTTCATGTAAGCCCAACTATAAGGAACTGCACCTTTATCCTACAAAATTCTGTAAATTTTAGGAAGGTTTTAATTGTTTAACAAAAAATATTTTATTTCAGTTTTACTATTGCATTCTCATCTTTGATGCATTTTTCAAACAGTAGGGGAGGATGATAAGGAGAAATTACATCGTACAAAAAAGTCAAATACTATCCAGGTGTAGGAAGAAGTAATCAGCGGAATAGGAGGGAAAAAAGGAACTATACCTGCTTAAGAAATCTGTCAGATGCATGGCTGTGCTTAGCTAACACATTTGGCAGAGCAGGGTTTTCATATTCAAACTGAGGATTGTATGTGAAATCTGAGTTGAAGAATTTAATCTTCTCTTTCTCCACATTGGAGGGCTTGATTGCAGTTAGTAAACAGAGTTTTTGGCCAGACACATCGCCTTCTTTTCCCTTGTTTTTTGAGGACTGTGATTGCTTTGGCTTTGTCAGATTAAAATGCCTCTTAGTTCTACTTCTGGGTCGAGGTGGCAGTCCTGTGCTGCTCCCTGCAACTGAAATGCTGTTTGTAAACTTCACACTGGTAGCCACTGGGCTAGTGACGATGATGGAGGGCTGTCTGTTTGTGCAGTACCACCCACTGCTGAGCAAGGGTAGCAGGGCTTTGACTTTGCGGTGCTCGTTGCTTCGCAGGCTGGTAGAACCCTTGGAGGTTTTCCTGTGCTTCTTGTGGTGAGCAGCTGCCTGCTTTTGGGCGTGGTGTTTTTTCTCCTCCTTGCTCTGTAGAAGGACATTGTAGCTACTGGTTCCTGTCGTGAAAATGTCCTTAAGGATCCCAGAAGGCGGATGCTGGAGGCTGTTTTCATTATTAATGTTCAGCTTATGTACTTCCAGGCTCAGGATTGATTTCCTAGAAAGCTCTGTCTTAGGCCAGTGAAGTTTTTCTGCATTTGGGGGAGGGAAGAAAAAAAAAAGAAAAAGATGAGGAGAAATTTGATTGGTTCACACAGCGATACAAATCTTGAGGACTCAAAACTGCAACAAAAATGAAACACAATCTTGACCTTTAGACATAGGGGAGAATTGAGTGTGCATATCACTTCTGAACATTTAGACTGGGACTTGCAAGCATGAAATACTTGTTTAGCTGGATCTCCATGCACAGCTACACTGTAGCTCAGAACTAAGTTATTTAACACAAGACTCTTTGGGATTTCATGCATATTTACTGTAACATTAACAAATGTTTAGTTTTGAGCAAAATCTGATTGGTCTTTATTGTGCAAGGGAGGCTTTCTGTATGGATAAAGAAAAACTTAAAAAATAGGAAACTGTACAGGAGTATGTGAGCAGTATTTACAGTGAAGTCCCACGGGGATCTGTGCTGTGATATAAGCAGTCTGGTGTGATCTCATCTGCAAAATGTGATTCACAGAATTTACTCTCAGCAAAGGATGAGAACTTCGGAATGGGCCAGCCATTATGAGCAATTTACACCACCACATGAATAGTAATATAAGTTTAAAAGATGTCAGTTTCACGTTTTAATCTTAATACAGACAGTAAGCTGTACTTAAAGAGGAGAGAGAAGAAAGATCAGCTACTTACGCTGCTGAAAAGCCTTAAGACAACACTGGTAATTTCATCTATTCAAAGCTGTTCTACAGTAACAGCTGGCTTAACAATGTTTCTTCTCAAGTGTTCTCTTAAACTAAGTGCAAGAAGCAAAGGAGGTTCTTTTAATGAATGAACCCTCCTTTCTTGCTCTGACCCCTGGCACAGCCTTCAGGGGGAGACGGGTCCCTGGTGCAGAGCAGCAGGGTGGAAGGATCAGTGAGGATTAAAACTGCATTTAACATTTGTGTGGGCTTGTTAGAGAGAAGCGACACTGCTTCGCTGGTTCTAATAGTTCCCTTCTCTTGACAACCAGTTCATCCTAGAACATCAGGTGAGGCAAAAGTAAGCTCTTGTGTAAATCTAATATCAAAAACTCATGACAGCAAGCTTTCAGAGCTAAGTAGTACACTTGGCCAGTAATAAATGCATTTATATCCAGACAATTACTCAACATCATAAGCCAGAATTCTCCTGAAAGTGTCACAAATGCTGACTGGGTGCTGAACACTCACTGGCAGGTTTCACATGCACATGGCTGATATCAGTAACAAACCGTGCCACAGAGAAATGCTTTCTACTTCTGCACATAAAATGAAAGGATTCACAGAAGAGGAGATGTGGCTGGAGCTCGATTAAAGCCCGCAAAAGGGATTTGAGCTTCATCTGACAGTTATACATAGCTGAGCCGTAATTACTTTACCTACAGTAATTATACTCTGAATGGAACATTAGCAAGAGATCATTAAATGCTTCCAAGGGGAAAAAAATGATGGTAGTTTAATTTCAGCTTTATTTTCACAGTAAAATTAGGTTTTGCTCCCAACATAAGCACCATGACAACGTATTTCATGCTGTTGGACCTCTGTCAGTTCCATGTGTTCCTCAGTTCTCCTGAAGATGCTGACTGAAAAAGCAAGAGGACAGAGGTCCTATTCACATGAACATGCAATGGGCAATCTGTGGCCTGAGTATTTCCTCGACTGGAAAGACAGAGATAGAAGCACTAGATTATTCTCTTTCACGAAAGCACACATATCTTATTCAAACTCAGTTTTGTTTTGTGGTAAGTTTGAGAATTCCCTTTCTATGCTTGGCACAGGAATGTGCTCCTTGGCATTCCTGTTCAAATTCTGTCAGATCGTTCTCATCACATATGTGACAACCTGCCTACATGGTTTATCTTGCTTTACCAGGAGCTGTCAGGGTGAGAAAGCACAGTTCCCCATCACAAGGAAAACAACTACACAAAATGAGATACATTTTTTGGACAACAGAATGGGATGACCACTCTGGTACTTCTTGGCAAGTATTTGAGATTAACTTCAGACTGTACCAGCTATTACAGTATGAGAATCCTTACTTTCAAGAAGGGTAAATGAAATCCAAGGTTTCTGGAATGTCTGAATCCATATTAAATTTTTGAGCATGTGACTGGCATAGACAAAATTGAAGTTGGAAATTACACAGCCACTTCTTAAAATACAGACAAGGGAATAATATAACACTAATGGCGTTAACACTTCACCTTCTCTACTAACCAATTCATAAAAGTCACAAGGAGTAAAAAAGACTCTATTGTTCCTACATAGGGAATAATTTGAGCTAATAACACACATGTATCTAAGAAGTGATAAATAGAAAAGAAAAAAGCAGAAACTGAGTTCAAAGAAACAACTCAAAAGGACCTTAAATCATATCACTCTCCCCTAAGCTCTTGTGTCAATCCAACATCAAAAACTCGTGACAGCAAGCTTTCAGAGCTAAGTAGTACACTTGGCCAGTAATAAATGCATTTATATCCAGACAATTGCTCAACATCATAAGCCAGAATTCTTCTGAAAGTGTCACAAATGGTGATTGAGTGCTGAACACTCACTGGCAGGTTTCACATGCACATGGCTGATATCAAAAATAGTTGTCCCCAATTCTGTAGTTACTTTATATGCACAACCTCATAGCAAAGTGATTTTTCAGCTGCCAAGTTAACTGTGGCTGTCCTTAATTTCTCTCCAACTGAAGAAGGATAATGTTCATGCCTATTTGTTCTGGAAGCCTAGAATGAACAGGTAATCCGGCAGATTTGAAATATCATAACAGATAACACAGCAGTTTTCACAAAAGCTATTTTACTGGTTCTTTTTCTAAAATTCTGCGTAGATCCTCTGAACATCATTATTTTACCAAATAACTTAGAAAATAATACTTGAGACTATGTCAACATCATGTCTCAAAGCACCAAACTTAAGTTCTTTCTCCAGTATGTTTGTTTAAGCTATAACAGGTGTTTTAAACTCACTAGGAAGTGTGACTTACATAGCTATATCCAAGAGTTTCCAAGGATTAGCAATGCCAAATGATTGGAATGGAGGTCTAGCATTCTGAATATAAAACCAATTAATTGCACAGCTTGCCTTCTGAAATCGTGCTTCAGTGTTCCAAAAATTACTGAGATAACCACACTGCTATAAGATAGCCAGTCAGAAAATGGATTATCAACCTGGATTAATTACGTAGACAGCTTAGCAGTGAATTCCAGCTTTTAAATTCTGGATACCAAAGGACAGATGCCTACAGATTACTTTTAAATGGTATGAAAAAGGCAAATTGAAAATTACCATGCTATGGCATAACTCTATCCTGCATATCATGCTATAGATCATATAGGTTTTATCTTTTGTATTTCATACACACGTGTTTCTTGTGTTCTAAAAACACAAATCTGAATTTTCTGACTTTACGTATTTGAGTTTTGGCAGTAGAAAACTGTCAAAATAATATAAGCCCAAGCCTCCAGTTACCTTTGAGACCCTCTCTAAAAACATGACATTTATGTACAAAGATTTTCTTAGTTGCTATCACTTCCAAACACTCAAAAGTCACAAAGCCCCAAGTCCCTCAACAAATAAAAAAAAACCCTCATGACAAAACTAACATAGCCTCTTCCTAAAACATTTTCCATCATGTTTATTTCCATTTATTTATATTTTGTTCTTTCCTGAAACAAAATAGTAATAAAAACATATGTCCTAGAGACCTATAGTGAAATTTCAACTGGGGTGAAATATCACGTGAAACAATCTGCCAGATTTAGAGTGCAAGGTGATGTACACACAAGCAAGGAGGGGGAAGAAGAGCTGACTGCCCCCATTTTGGCATAATCAGGGCACCAAAGGACAGAAATACCTTCTGTTAATGGCAACTTCATCCATTTTGGGACAGAGTAGAGCTCTACTTCTCTTTAGAGTCACAGTGTTTGGCTTCTGCTACCCCATAAGGCGGGCTAGCAGGGCAGCCATCCATCCAATGGCAACTCTCCTGTGTTTCTAAAGAATCTCACAAAGGAGCAGGTTGTGCCCTAGCCACAAGTTCATTATTGTCAAGGTATCTGTTGGAATTGGCCATACTGGACTTAATCCATCCTGCAGACACAAATGTGCCATGTGCCACAGAACAATTCAAAATAACACAGTATTGACTTTGCAAACAGCAGAGTTTTTCCCCTGCCTGTGTAACTTCCATTCATGTACATGTAGCTATTCCAGTGTCACAGCAGTACTGGAAAGGGGATGGAACCCAACTGCTAACAGAGGATATGTGGGAATCAAAAATCTCATTATAATTCTGCACTAATCAAACACTTTCCATATGGAAGTTGCATCCCAGTCACTAGCCTTGAACTTTTTACCATTGCAAATGTTGTCTAACCTTGTCAGTGGTTGGTTGTTAGGAAAAATATGTTCATTTTTATGTTATATTCAGGAGCTAGATTATATCATTTGTCTCCATCCTTTAGAAATTGATAAATTTAGCTAATCTTGTATTAAATTAATAATATGTGTGGTAAAATCTCACTAGATTTTAGATTTAGAAATTTCTAGACTTTGGAGAGTGTTGTATAAATACCTTCCTCTAGGCTGCAGGGCAGTTACTGCTTAAGCAGCTTCTTAAATACCTGTTCCATAGGTGGAATGAGGTTAATGACAGGTATTTGTGGGCACAGATCTCTCTCTGTCCAGTTGGCCTTGCTCTAAAATAGTAGAGAGCTCCTGCAGCTTTCAAGCAGCTGTCACTCAGGTTATATACGCAGAGCGGACAAATCCTTTCCGAAGTGCAAGTATGATTCTTAAGGTGCTTAGCAGAGATGTTCATGACGCAGTTCCTCCTATCCTAGAAAGGTAATGGTCTGAGTCACTTTCAGTTCACCATTACCACGCCAGAATATGGTTGAATTTCTTTTTGCTCAGAATCAGAAATAATTTCCAATACCTTGACTTGAATTTTCAAATTTATAGAAATGCAAATAATGTACGTGATTTGTCTACAAGTAATAAATGCTTAAGTTTGAAACAGAGATGAGAAGAAAATATACAGATGTGACAAGATTCCTTCTTTGCCACACTATGTAAAGGTACAATTACATTAGAAAGAAAAATTGATCTTCAATATTCAGACAATTTGAATAGATTAACAACTGCCTGTAGTTTATGAACTCTATAGTTTATGAACTCTAGACTGTATGGTTGTGAGTGCAGAGGGCTGTAGAAAAAATATTCTGCTAAAAACAGGAAACATAAAATGTTGTATGTGAATCTGCAATGTTCCACTGCCTCTCAATGCCATAGGCTTGTTTGTGGCATAACAGAACCTGACTAGAATCCTACATTCTATTTCCTCACCACTATAAACACCTTTAATGTTTACAAACACTCCAGTTTTAAACAGAAGCTGTTAGGCAACTTGAACTAGACAGACTATAACATAATTCTGTCTATAATGAAAATGGTTTAACAGTAGAATAAGTCAATGAGTCCCTGTAAAAAGACTTGCACTGAGTTATCTTCTAGTTTCACAAGAATCGTAGTTATTAACTAGAGCCTCTATGATGTTGGGAACTTTGACATTTAGACCAAGACTTTTTTTTCCCTCAAAAAATATTCACCTATTTACTTTACTTCTGTAAAGGTGTTGTCTGTCATTCAACTTTTAATTCTGAGCTTCAAAATCAAGGGCAAGTTTCAGCTATCATACAGCTTGTATGTCTGATTCATTAACTGCCACATTTACAGGACTGATTGGCATGATTTTGAACTCTGCAGTTTGTATTTTCTTCTTTGAAAGTACAATGATATATAAGATGTACCCTTTCAACCTTAAAAAACCAAAAAAAGTATGAACTGACTTGCCAGCAGTTTCTTGCATGAGCATTTCTACACTGAAATACAGTATTATGTAACCAACTCCAAATTTGTGTTCTTCAAATTAAATTACATGAGCACAGTAATAATCAGTAAAAGTGAAGACTTGGCCCTAATGAAATCAAGTAGCAAACTCCCATTGATTTAATAGACTCAGGATATAAGGCACTGATTTATACGCAGACTTGCACAGAATGGAACTCCCATCCAAGCAGATCTCCAGCTTGTTCTACTGCAGCACAGGTGTGGTCAGGAATATCTGATGGAGGGATAGGGACCCAAAACAACTATCTTGCAAGAAATCTTTTCCTTTAAGATTGCAGCTGCTGTTGCACATCTCTAGAGCTGCGCTGACCGATCCCATGAACTTTATTTCTACTCCCAGTACCAGAAGCAAGATGCTAGTCATATCATGCACAGATGGAACAGCAGATAAATTATGCAGAGCAAGAGTAGCTGTAAGAGATCTTAATTATGATTGTAATAGTACTGAATGAGGGCACACTAAGACACTTTCACCTCTTCTAGATAGATTTCCCCATGACAAAGAAACACTGGCTTGAGTAGCTGAAGTAATGACACATGAAATTACATCAAATTCACGCAAGGAAAACATCCAAGTGAAAAATTTGTTTTGCGGCAGCAACTGTATTGTGGGCTTTCCTGCATTCCACTTGTACGCAGCATGGAACATAGCAGTTTTGTGTGGCGTTAAATACTTTTCCATATTATCGTTAAATAGTCATAATACAGATATTTATATACGCATACTGTAGGGATTTATTAACTTCTCTGAAAACGCAGCACAGAGCAGAGCCAAAGAGTGACAGACACCGGCTACCATTAGTAATAGTTTTATTGTCGTTCTTTCTTGCATCTTCTGTCTCTCGCTCCATACTCCCCAGCGTCCGGGGATGGGTCAGGGCCCGCAGGACTCGCTCCGTACTCACACAGGGGGCTTCTGCAGCGCCGTCTCTCCTGGAGACAGGCAGGTGTGGAGCCCCTTCCGCATGGACCAGGGCACGCACCGAGACCCCGCGGTGCCCGTCCGGGTGATGATTTCCCGGGAGGGAGGGAGGGATGGGCTGGCAGCCCGCCGGCTGCCCTCGGGCGCTGCGGGGAGAGAGACCCCTCTCAGCCGCTCCCGGGCGCGGCCAGGGCGGTACTCACCGGTGACACAGATGGACTCCAGCATGATGCTCCTCTGGGCAGCGCCGTGGCTCTGCCCCGCCGGCTTCCCCCTGCGCGGCGGGTTCGGGTCTCCTGGGCAGGGAGCCCGGCGGGGAGGCGGGCAGGGAGGCAGCGAGCGGCGCTGGGCACGGCGCGGGATGTGCCCACCTCGGCGCCTCCCCCGATTCGGGAGAGCGCGGCTGGCCCCGGGCCGGCAGGCGGGAGCCGCGCCGCCGGCGCCCCCACCCGCCCCTGCACACTACATGTCCCGGCGTGCACCGCGCGGCCTGAGCGCTGGCAGGGGCGGGGCGCGGACGCGCTGCACCCTGGGAGCTGTAGTGCAACAGTATCCCACCCCGCCCACCGCTACTCCGGGATATCGCCGACACAGCCCGCTTTATCCCACCGGCGCGGCTGGGTGCCAGGCGCCAGCAGCGTGTACTCCTGCATCATCCTTTGCAGGAGTCTAGCGAGCATAAGTTACGCTGACTCCAGCGTTGCAGTACTCTGATAGTTACCAACAACCACCATCGCTGCAACTGGTGATTGTTGGTGTGATTGGCAATTATCTGCTAGGCCTGAGGCAGGCACAGGAAGGACTGCATGAGACAAGGGTGCTCAGCAGGATTTGTGCCAGCCCGGGAGATGTGTCTTATGCTCGGTGGTGTCTCATGCTAAAGAGAATGGAGGAATCGTATCAGGGCAACAGTTTGGGGCAGTAACTGACAGTTATTGTACATTGATAAGTAATAAATAGAATTTAAAGCTGAAGACAGACTTTGTATTGCACCCTCCTGCTGTTCTGTGCAATCTGTTGCTTTGCTTGTGAAACCTTTCACTCTTTGAAATACAATCTGTGTGTTTTTAAATTGAGCATCAAATAGGAACAAGTTATTCTATCTTAGCAATCATGGTTGTGTAACCCATTAATGTAGGCATGGTGTAGGAAGACTGTACTCTTCGTGCAGACTTAAGGGCATTACTGAAGTCAGATTACACAACACATTTTACTGTGTTAATAATGCATTTACTTTTTTTTTTTTTTTTTTTTAGAAATGGCCCACAGTTATTGGAGAAAGCAATTTAATTAAAAGTGACCTAACAGCACAGTAATGCTCAACATACATTATGTGAATGTAGTGATCTGCCAGGCAGAGGAGAGCTGGGAAGTTGTGCACTGCTTTAGTTGGATATCTTAAATTTCTGCCACCTTCCCTCCTATCAATAAATCCATACCTTCAGTGCACTGTACACAGAGATTCCCTTCGTAGCATTGTACTTTAAGATCTGGCTGTATTGTCATGTATTGGGGATGGAAATTCCAAAGATCGCAGCTCGTTGATACTTTTGAGTATCAACCCCTTTCTGTGTCCTACCTGGAAAACTTTTACTGAGCTTCATGAATCCTTAGAGACACTTGCATGCAATCACACAACTGAGTGGACAATGCTCTGTCTGCTTTCATATCAGTCTTCACAGGCAATAATGAAAACCAAAAATTAGGGTTAAAAGCAGAGATTTTAATTTTATTTACTACTGCCTAACACACAGTCAAAGACAGGAACTCTTAAGACCAGCTGTGAAAAGACTGAGGTGTCATTTTTCTCAGTCTGCTAATGAGGAGGCAGTGCTGAAACTTAGCTGACAAATTTGATGTCCCTTTTAACTTGAATTCTTTGAAGAGCGGAGAAGATATATGCTCTATCAACATGTCTAAGTTTAACCTAAAATACCCTCTAAAGTGTTTTGCTGACAGTGGAGCATCTGGAACTTGCAGGCTTGTCTCCAAATCTCAAATTGCAGGAACTGAATAAATACTTTTAAATTTAGAGAGCCAAAGCTATCCCTAATGGGTAGAGTTTGCTTGTGATACATGGCAATTACAGAAAAAAAATCCAACAAGACAATGAATCAGTTCAAGCACTGCAAATCATCAGCACAGCTGATGAAGAATTCTCCAATATATAGTCAATGTATTGTATACCATAATTCCCCAATGGTTTTGCTGCATAGACCCTAAATTTTACTCTTAGAGATGCTACTTTATATATGCTTGGAAGCTATAGTAATGAAACTGGTAACTCCAGCTATTTTTGTGTATTTTACACATTTATCCCCTCTCTTTGCTCCATCCAGTGGATGCCTTCTTTCCATCTCTCTCATCTCTTGCCTACTTCTCCCTGGTGTCCCTGAGTCCTTTTTCACAGAGTGCTTGGGCAGTCAGTCTCCCCTGAATCTGCTGCCTCCACATTTTTCTTTTCTTTTCCCTTTTTCCTTTGCAGGATGGCTTGAAGGTTTTTTTAGGTCATGCTAGCTCCTGGCTCTAGCAAGAGGATGCCAAAGGCAGTAGCAGAAGGCACAGTGGATGGATGCTAAAAGGCCACCTGTCCCTGCTTTCTGCTTTGAGCAACCTTTGTCATGTTTGTTGATTAAAAAAATAACATGGAGAGCTCAGTTGAGGAAAACATTACTAAATACCTCAATATAACAAAAATTATATATATATATATATATATAT